AAGTTGATAAATCTCGTTAGTTTGGAGAACATAAAACATTATCAGGGCCTCCACACTTATTATGTATCAAATCTTTAGGACATGTCGTTACGTCGGCATCAATGCAAGTGCCTGCTACCCCACTGCATGATGTACCGATTGCGAAGAAATCCGGATAAGTTCTCACGACAAAGTCATTACGATAGTTAACGGGGATAAGTTTTGCCGGACCATCTTCCCCATAACTAACAGCGTGGCCATCCCCAACGTACAGCACAGCGTGCTCATATGGAGGCGCGCCGTATAAAACAACGTCTCCTGGTTGAGCATTAGCGAGCGAAACCGACACTCCATGGTTTCCCATTGTTCCAGTATAGCCAGCGCTCCAATTTTCTCCATTGAGATAGTCCGGATAAAATCCAAAAGCACTCCAGTACAGCCAACTAACAAAGGAGCTGCAATCCGCGTAAGGTGGTACATTCACAAAGGGACACACATTGTTGTTAATTCCGGACCAGCGATTTGGGCTATTCTGAGTATACTGAATGGTTTTTTGGCTGCTAACTGTCCACAACGCAGCTTCTTTGAGACCGTCACGGGTCGGAGTCACCTGGGAACATTTTCTAGGATCGTTGGCAAATGCAAATGGCAGCAGCAGGAGAATGGTAATGAGAATTGACTTCATGGTTTTTTACTCACATCTTTGCTGGAGCTCGAGTCGCGCGTATTTAATTAAATACGGTGATGAGATTCTATTCGTCCGCGCTCTATGCGACGCTAGGATAATCGTATGCATGCAATTTACCACCTTTTGTCACTTTAACACGCAATCATTAACTCGATAAATATATCAAGGATATCGTATCATAGTTAACCCCTCGATAAGTCAAACAAACCGGTAAGCCGGATTTGGTTTAACAATGACAAGGCTTTTCGCCATCTTTCTAGTGGGTATCCGTTTGACGAATGTACCAAAATTAATACCGCATATTAAAATTCTTTTACGCACCACGTAGTTGATCTATTCAAACTATGCTATAATGTACACTGGTTTAAAATCGATGATATTTGCCGATTGAGATTCTGCGCGCAAACTAGTCTTGATGCATCGCTCTTTGAAACAATTATCTGCCTAGACTAAATTTAGTATCCAAACGACACAAGCA